AAGAAACTCAACAAGCTAAGCAAGTTACCTAAGATATGTTCCGATTGATTTCTTAGCGGGCTATATGAACTTTGTGTCTCGCTTTGAGTGGGCTACGTGGAAAATAATTGGCCGCTCCTTAACCAATCAGAAGCTAGCATTTTGAGGTAATGTAGGATCATGTTGTAATCCGTTCTCAATAAGCCATAATGTGAATTATTAAATGTATTGTCCACTGACTCCCCCATGGCCATTGCAATGTCTCTATTCTCAACAAGCCACCATGCGTGTAATGTACTCCGTTGATGGAGTAGTTTCTCGCTCTACAGTCTACATTATCCACAGAAACGCGTGTACATCAGACCGGCTTGCATACATAGGGACAGGACATTGAGGAACCGGACAGCATAACGCTAGTATGATGAAGTTGTCCCGTGGAGTTGAACACACATTCCTCACCGTACACGACGCCGACCCAAGCAGGCTTGTGTACAGTTTCCATGTCAGATAGTTCATGAGCATCTCCTGAGTGAGTGAGTGAGTGAGTGAGTGAGTGAGTGTGGATGGGTGGGTGGTTGAGTGATTCAGTGATTGAGTGACTTTGAGTGAGTGAGTGAGTGAGTGAGTGACTGCGTAAGTAGTTGAGTGAGTGAGTGAGTGAGTGTGGATGGGTGGTTGAGTGATTCAGTGATTTAGTGACTTTGAGTGAGTGAGTGAGTGAGTGAGTGACTTTGGGTGAGTAGTTGGGTGAGTAGTTGAGTGAGTGAGTGAGTGAGTGAGACACCACTACGGGACAATACCCCATCACTGGGTTCCCATCCCGGTTTGCTGCGTCTGAGACCTTCATCTCTTTCTCCCCATGTACATGTATGTGTTCTCTGCTTCATAGCATTTATTCACCCGATGAAGGAGTAAGTATATACTCCGAAACGTTGTGTTCCCTAATAAACAAGTTGACATCCACAAACTTACATACATGATGACCTGGTACAAGAGAAGTGCTTCACTATATAAAAAGCTCCATTTTAGGATTTTGAACCATCAATAATAATTCAAGACTTGTTTTTTATTACTGCGTGTAAGTTTATACACATGTGAACAGACTCGTTAATCCATATCACTTGGAATTGTACTGTCCGGATTAATGAGGCTTCTCTGTATAACACATTTGCCATTAATTAACCCTCCACAGCGTTGTATTTCAAAGATCTACGATAAGACCATCATTTAACACGGGTTGTGTTGAGTACCCACCATTAATACATCCTACGTGCGTTATAAGAGATGAATGCTATGGATATAACGAATTTGCAAATTGGAAAAGTGTTGGGAATTACGATTTTCTTGTCCCCGTATATCGTTCATTGCCAGTCCGGACCAATGAAGATCTGGGGTAGAATAGGTCTTCAGCAACCCATGCTTGCCGTAAAAGGCGACTATGCTTGTCGCAAGAGGCGAGTAACGGGATCGGGTGGTCAGGCTCGCTGACTTGGTTGAAACATGTCATCGATCCCAATTGCGTGGATCGATGCTCATGATATCAATCACTGGATTGTCGGGTCCAGACTCGATTATTACAGACCGCCGTCATATAGCTTGAACATTGCTGAGTGCGGTGTTTTTAACAACAGTCAACAAACAAGCAAACAGCAACTTCCCCACAAAGTATACAAACTGATAACAAATATTGATGATAATGGTTCAAATCCCTGGGCACTCATACAAGAAATATTTTATTTAAATACAGTTTTGGATTTATGTGTCTTTCCCAACACATCATTCATGGGAGACGTCAAGGAGAGATTTTACGACTCCTTCTTTCAATATTACCACTCCCTCGACGCTTCATCTGAATGTAAAGCCCCCTTTACACAGGGCTGCGACCTTTGTGCCACCTTTGAGCGATCAAAAACTGGCCAGGACGCTCAATGGTCGCCTGAACCCAGAAAATCATGCTCCAGCAGTTGTCCAGTAGCGACTGCTCGAGTTGTTCAGCGTCTGCAACCACAATGAAACACTGCAGCTACAAGCCCTCTATTTATAGGCAGGCTGAGGAGGCACTACAGGTAGTCAAAGGAGGCAGAAAAGAGGCAGAAGCATTGCCATGGTGTCTCAAGGGTTGCTGTGGTCGCCGAATGGAGACACAGCGGTCGCCACAGTCATCATTCAATGCACGCTGTTGATCGCCCAAAGAAGGCACAAGGGAGGCAGAAGCATCGCCCAGATTGACAGGAAAAATTTTCAGCAGAACGCATCTGTTACCTGGCGACCATTCGACGACCACTGTGCCTTCATTCTGCAACAACGACGATGCTTGTGCCTCCCTTCTGCCTCCTTTGAGACACCTTTTAGCAACCAGCCTCCTCGGCGACCTTTGTGCGACTGTTTTGAACATGTTCAAAAATTCACGGCGACCATGACGTCCATGGCGATGTCTGAACCTCCCGTGCCTCCTTTGAGCCTCCAACGACGACCTGGCAAATTGTATGGTCGCACACGAGAGGCACAAAGGTCGCCATCCTGTGCAAAGGCCCCATAATTATTCTCGGTTTAAATCTTAACAATGTGTGGAAACCTATTAACGTGCGACCTTCTCCCTAACGGAAAATAATATTAAGCATGTTGCGGTGTAATTACCTAAAGTTAAACGCGACCGTCATACAAAGACCATATAAATAGAGAATCTCACCCGAGTACCTTTTGATATCAAGTAAGTCAACGCTCGTTGATAAAAGTGGAAAAACTCCGAGGCTCACAAATGTTTTCCACTTTTATCAACGAGCGTTGATATATTTGATATCAAAAGACACAATGGTGAGATTTTATTTATCATCCAACATCATTCTTCCAACTTTTTCAGTTTGTAGACAGTAATAAGCAGTGTCTTAGTGTAAAAAGTACTTGTAACAGCTTCAGTAGCAGAGCCATTAGTGATGTCATTTGATTGTGACGTCATGGTAACTGATGAATTTCTCTTTTGTGTAAAACATCCATTTTGTCTGTGAATGGTTTTAGCGTGTTCCAGATATTCCTCTCCTCATCCGGGAAATGTTATACATGACACTGAAGAAACGTTGATGAGATGCTCTATTTCTATGTTTTTGGAATCAAGGATCACTACTAGGGCCTCATTGACCATGTATTAAGCCACATTTCGGATGCTTCACCTCAAACACAACATACGAGGCCTTTCAGTGCAAAAATAGTTTTGAAATATAAGCATTAAATTTCTATGATAGCGGTACGTGGGATTACCATGCTTGCCGTAAAAGGTGACTATGCTTGTCGCAAGAGGCGCCTAACGGGTCGGGTGGTCAGGCTTGCTGACTTGGTTGATGCATGTCATCGATCCTAATTGCGTGGATCGATGCTCATGATATTAATCACTGGATTGTCCAGTCCAGACTCGATTATTTTCAGACCGCCGTCATATAGCTTGAATATTGCTGAGTGCGGCGTTAAACAACAAACCAACCAACCAACATGGGATTACAGTTTTTGAGTTAATTGATATCCGAATTGTACTGCAAGCGCCATAAAATCTAAAGTACCGCTAGCTGGCGATTCCAATTTTACAGAGTAGGTGCGTGAGTTGGTGTTCACGCCGCTTTGAACAGTGTCTCCGTTATACCACGGCGTGCCAGCCTAACATGGATGCACACTCAGGGACTAATACAAAGCCGTGAACATTTTCTTTTTTTAAAAACAAAAAAAACAAAAAAACGAGGAATGTATGGTGTTGACAAACCGATGATCCAATTCAGGGCAAATCATGATTTCGAACGCACGATCAGCGGATCCTTGCTTCACTAAGGGACTGAACGCAGAATTGCGGCGCCCTAAAAAGCTTGACCTACTGACCCAGGGCCAAAGGGGTCGTGATCATTCTTAACGTAGTAAGGTGTTATGAGTACCTTATGAATATCATCACTGGGGATTGCCCCCGTGAAGATTTGGGGCACAATGTGTCTTCAGCAACCCATGTTTGAGTGTCTTAAGAGGCGGCTAACGGGATCGGGTGGTCAGGCTCAGTGACTTGGTTAATGGATGTCACCGTATCCCAGTTGCCTAGATCGATGCTCTTGATGTCAATCGCTGGATTGTTTTGTTCAGACTTGATAAATTACAGACCACCGTCATATAGCTGGAATAGTGCTGAGTGCGGCGTTAAAACAACAAACACGGGAGCTTGGCAGGACAGCCCTAGTTAATGATCACCCGACAAATAATTAAATACCATGTCATTCATGCGTATCTGCGAGTTCGACGCCTGACGCCTGGAACTGTTATCAGTTTACGCCATATCGGCTCTTTCCTCACCACTCTGTATCATGTAGGTATAATCAAACAGAATGGGACCAGTGCACCATCGGGATCACTTACAAGCATCAGTTGACTTAAGTCACGAGTCACCATGCCCACCTGTGACCTTCGTAAGTGTCCGTCACCTATTCGACCCTTTTCGTTCAATTCTGTAACGGACCCGTGAAGATTCGGGTTAGAATAGGTCTTTAAAAACCCATGCTTGTCGTAAGAGGCGACTGACGGTATCGGGTGGTCAGGCTCGCTGACTTGGTTGATCCATGTGATCGTATTGTGTGGATCGATGCTCATGCTATTGATCACTGGATTGTCTGGTCAATTATTTACAGACCGCCGTCATGTAGCTGGAATATTGCTGAGTGCGGTGTTAAACAACAAACACTGGAGATTCCAAGGATAGTCCTAGTTAATGATCCACGCTGTCTACAATATAGGTCAGGTATGTCAACCAATATAAACTTGTAATGGTATACAATATATGCCTTGTGATGAACGCACAGCATTATGATTTTCTTGTTTATTCATATAATAATAAAAATTCAAGATTACAGTACCAAACAAATTAATGGGTAAATCTTATTTCAGCGCCGGAGAATCATTGCCAGGCAGCTGAGCTGTTATTCTGGTGTACGCTACAGGAATTTGCACGTTTGATGAACCCTTAATCTGGAGATGACCCTTCGTGACCAAGCCAGATGGTTGTTATCATGGTGTAAACACTTGGTGAGAGGTTTTCAAATCATCCCTGGTGGTTAGACAGGTAAGTATTAAATATATGCTGGGCTTAGTATTCGTTTCCTGATGCAGTCCTGCACAAGAATATTTGATGTAATTTAGCAACTGCTTTGAATGTAGGGGTAGTGAGCGTAGTTTCTGTGTGTGTGTGTGAGAGAGAGAGTGCGTGTGTGTGAGAGAGAGAGAGAGAGCGAGAGAGTGTGTGAGAGAGAGAGGGAGAGTGTATGTGAGAGAGGGAGGGAGCGTGTGTGTGAGAGAGGGAGGGAGCGTGCGTGTGAGAGAGGGAGGGAGCGTGCGTGTGTGTGTGAGAGAGAGAGGGAGAGTGTGTGTGAGAGAGAGAGGGAGAGAGTGTGTGAGAGAGAGAGGGAGAGTGTATGTGAGAGAGGGAGGGAGCGTGCGTGTGTGTGAGAGAGAGAGGGAGAGTGTGTATGAGAGAGGGAGGGAGCGTGCGTGTGTGTGTGAGAGAGAGAGGGAGAGTGTGTGTGAGAGAGAGAGGGAGAGTGTGTGTGAGAGAGGGAGGGAGCGTGCGTGTGTGTGAGAGTGAGAGAGGGAGAGAGTGTGTGAGAGAGAGAGGGAGAGTGTGTGTGAGAGAGGGAGGGAGCGTGCGTGTGTGTGTGAGAGAGAGAGGGAGAGTGTGTGAGAGAGAGAGGGAGAGTGTGTGTGAGAGAGGGAGGGAGCGTGCGTGTGTGTGAGAGAGAGAGAGCGAGAGAGTGTGTGTGAGTGAGAGGGAGGAGTGTGTGTGAGAGAGGGAGGGAGCGTGCGTGTGTGTGTGTGAGAGAGAGAGGGAAGGAGAGTGTGTGTGTGTGAGAGAGAGAGAGTATGTGAGGGAGAGAGGGAAGGAGAGTGTGTGCGTGAGAGAGCAAGAGAGAGTGTGCATGTGCGTGTGAAATAGAGGGAGAGTATGTGAGAGAGGGAGGAAGGTAGCGTGTGTGTGTGAGAGAGAGAGGGAGGGTGTGTGTGTGAGAGAGAGGGAGGGAGTGTGTGTGTGAAAGAGAGAGTTTTCAAGTGTTTACTGTCTACTGCCCGGCAGTTTATATTTCCAGCGGACATATTTCCCTCTTTTTTTATAGACGTCACACTGGTTCATCGTCCGACATGTATACAGACGAAATCATCGAGAGTGTTGGAGGTTTTGGGCGATTCCAAATAGCCATGCTGGGAATGATATTCGGGGTGAAGATGGTCATTGCTTGGAGCATGATCATGATGTCTTTCGCTGGCGTGGCCCCTGATTGGTGGTGCACACCTCACGGCGTTGATCCCTACAACGTCAGCTACAGGGACAACACGACGTTCCAGCAGTGTCACGGCGTGGACAACAGCTCATGTTCCTATGCATACTCCGATGAGATGAACACCGTCATTAATCAAGTGAGTGTGTTTTGAACTCATCTAAATCGACCCCTGAGGATTCTGGGCAATAGTTGTATCATGATTGATGTACGGGGTGTTATCTGGTTCAGAATTGCGCGTCTTAGCACCCAGACGACCCGTGAAGATCCGGGGTAGAATAGGTCTTCAGCAACCCATGCTTGCCGTAAAAGGCGACTATGCTTGTCGTAAAAGGCGACTAACGGGATCGGGTGGTCTGGCTCGCTGACTTGGTTGATCGTATCCCAATTGCGTGGATCGATGCTCATGATGTCAATCACTGGATTGTTTGGTCCAGACTCAATTATTTACAGACCGCCGTCATATTGTTGGAATAATGCTTAGTGCAACAAACAATCAAACAAATGCGTCAGGCATTGCTCATAGTATCAGCCACTGGTTTGTCTGGCTCCGATTTGATCATGTACAGGGATTGTGTTAGTGTTAACGCCACTTTGAAAAGTATTTCACTACACTTTAGCTTTATGTTAGAGCGAGTGGGTGAGTTGTGTTTAACGCCGCCTTGAACGGTATTGCAACCTGTCACCTTAACGAGGAACGAAAAACCCAAGCAATACAGGCGTCAGTCATTTACCACTTTTTGTGAGAGTGGTATGGTGCTCACAAACAAAGAAACATAATATTGGTAATGTCAGAGGATTGGGCGATTGGTAAATGACTCTATTCATGGTGCTGACAAACAAAGAAACATAATATTTGTAATGTCAGAGGATTGGGCGAGTGGGATTGGACGAGTGGGCGAGTGAGTGAATAATATTCGCCACCGTCAGCAATATTCAATATCAGATTTTCAAAAGACAACAACCACCAACAACCCCCAAGACCCCACCACCACAAATAGCAACTCTAGCATGTACACTTATTCGATGGTAACGTGAGGTGAAATGGGTTTAATGCCGCATTCAAGTTATTGCACTTATTTGTATTACGACCACAAGGCTATTTTGCTTAGGTCAAAGTACATACATGATCATGGCTAATATTTGAAAGTTGAACAACCTAGAGAAATATGTGTACAGGGTTAGCCATGTTAGATATCACACGCGTTGAGTAATCCCAACACCGAAAGTGAAGGTTGGAATGTTTAAAGGGGTCAACATCAGGAGTTGGATAGCCGTTTGACAGCATCTCATGAGCCCCTGTCCAAATCACGGACACCTTAGTCCCTGTCTGTCCACATCCCGTCAGTCCCTTTGTCCGTATCCCGTCAGTCCCTGTCTGTCCACATCCCGTCAGACCCTGTTTGTCTACATCCCGTCAGTCCCTTTGTCCACTTCCCGTCACTCCCTGTCTGTCCACATCCCGTCAGTCCCTTTGTCCGTATCCCGTCAGTCCCTGTCTGTCCACATCCCGTCAGACCCTGTTTGTCTACATCCCGCCAGTCCCTTTGTCCACTTCCCGTCACTCCCTGTCTGTCCACATCCCGTCAGTCCCTTTGTCCGCATCCCGTCAGACCCTGTCTGTCCACATCCCGCCAGTCCCTTTGTCCGTATCCCGTCAGTCCCTGTCTGTCCACATCCCGTCAGACCCTGTTTGTCTACATCCCGCCAGTCCCTGTCTGTCCACATCCCGTCAGTCCCTGTCTGTCCACATCCCGTCAGACCCTGTTTGTCTACATCCCGCCAGTCCCTGTCTGTCCGTATCCCGTCAGTCCCTGTCTGTCCACATCCCGTCAGACCCTGTTTGTCTACATCCCGCCAGTCCCTTTGTCCACTTCCCGTCACTCCCTGTCTGTCCACATCCCGTCAGTCCCTTTGTCCGCATCCCGTCAGACCCTGTCTGTCCACATCCCGCCAGTCCCTTTGTCCGTATCCCGTCAGTCCCTGTCTGTCCACATCCCGTCACTCCCTGTCTGTCTACATCCCGTCAGTCCCTGTCTGTCCACATCCCGTCAGTCCCTTTGTCCACATCCCGTCAGTCCCTTTGTCCACATCCCGTCAGTCCCTTTGTCCGTATCCCGTCAGTCCCTGTCTGTCCACATCCCGTCAGACCCTGTTTGTCTACATCCCGTCAGTCCCTGTCTGTCCACATCCCGTCAGTCCCTTTGTCCACATCCCGTCAGTCCCTTTGTCCGTATCCCGTCACTCCCTGTCTGTCCACATCCCGTCAGTCCCTTTGTCCACATCCCGTCAGTCCCTTTGTCCACATCCCGTCAGTCCCTTTGTCCACATCCCGTCAGTCCCTTTGTCCACATCCCGTCACTCCCTGTCTGTCCACATCCCGTCAGTCCCTTTGTCCGCATCCCGTCAGACCCTGTCTGTCCACATCCCGCCAGTCCCTTTGTCCGTATCCCGTCAGTCCCTGTCTGTCCACATCCCGTCAGACCCTGTTTGTCTACATCCCGCCAGTCCCTTTGTCCACTTCCCGTCACTCCCTGTCTGTCCACATCCCGTCAGTCCCTGTCTGTCCACATCCCGTCAGTCCCTTTGTCCACATCCCGTCAGTCCCTGTCTGTCCACATCCTGTCACTCCCTGTCTGTCCACATCCCGTCAGACCCTGTTTGTCTACATCCCGTCAGTCCCTTTGTCCACATCCCGTCAGTCCCTGTCTGTCCACATCCTGTCACTCCCTGTCTGTCCACATCCCGTCAGACCCTGTTTGTCCACATCCCGTCAGTCCCTTTGTCCGCATCCCGTCACTCCCTGTCTGTCCACATCCCGTCAGTCCCTTTGTCCGCATCCCGTCAGTCCCTTTGTCCACATCCCGTCAGTCCCTGTCTGTCCACATCCCGTCAGTCCCTGTCTGTCCACATCCCGTCAGTCCCTTTGTCCGCATCCCGTCAGTCCCTGTCTGTCCACATCCCGTCAGTCCCTTTGTCCACATCCCGTCAGTCCCTGTCTGTCCACATCCCGTCAGTCCCTGTCTGTCCACATCCCGTCAGTCCCTCTGTCCACATCCCGTCAGTCCTTGTCTGTCCACATCCCGTCAGTCCCTTTGTCCACATCCCGTCAGTCCCTTTGTCCACATCCCGTCAGTCCTTGTCTGTCCACATCCCGTCAGTCCCTTTGTCCACATCCCGTCAGTCCCTTTGTCCACATCCCGTCAGTCCCTTTGTCCACATCCCGTCAGTCCCTGTCTGTCCACATCCTGTCAGTCCCTTTGTCCGCATCCCGTCAGTCCCTGTCTGTCCACATCCCGTCAGTCCCTGTCTGTCCACATCCCGTCAGTCCCTGTCAGTCCACATCCCGTCAGTCCCTTTGTCCACATCCCGTCAGTCCCTGTCTGTCCACATCCCGTCAGTCCCTGTCTGTCCACATCCCGTCAGTCCCTCTGTCCACATCCCGTCAGTCCCTTTGTCCACATCCCGTCAGTCCCTGTCTGTCCACATCCCGTCAGTCCCTTTGTCCGCATCGCGTCAGTCCTTGTCTGTCCACATCGCGTCATGCCCTTTGTCCACATCCCGTCAGTCTCTGTCTGTCCACATCCCGTCAGTCGCTGTCTGTCCGCATCCCGTCAGTCCCTCTATTCATATCCCGCCAGTCCCTTTGTCCGCATCCCGTCAGACCCTGTCTGTCCACATCCCGTCAGACCCTGTCTGTCCACATCCCGTCAGTCCCTTTGTCCGCATCCCGTCAGTCCCTGTCTGTCCACATCCCGTCAGTCCCTGTCTGTCCACATCCCGTCAGTCCCTTTGTCCGCATCGCGTCAGTCCTTGTCTGTCCACATCGCGTCATGCCCTTTGTCCACATCCCGTCAGTCCCTTTGTCCACATCCCGTCAGACCCTGTCTGTCCACATCCCATCAGTCCCTTTGTCCACATCGCGTCATGCCCTTTGTCTACATCCCGTCAGTCCCTGTCTGTCCACATCCCGTCAGACCCTGTCTGTCCACATCCCGTCAGTCCCTTTGTCCACATCCCGTCACTCCCTGTCTGTCCACATCCCGTCAGTCCCTGTCTGTCCACAACCCGTCAGTCCCTTTGTCCACATCCCGTCAGTCCCTTTGTCCACATCGCGTCATGCCCTTTGTCCACATCGCGTCATGCCCTTTGTCCACATCCCGTCAGTCCCTTTGTCCACATCCCGTCAGTCCCTGTCTGTCCACATCCCGTCAGTCCCTGTCTGTCCACATCCCGTCAGTCCCTGTCTGTCCACATCCCGTCAGTCCCTGTCTGTCCACATCCCGTCAGTCCCTTTGTCCACATCCTGTAAGTCCCTGTCTGTCCACATCCCGTCAGTCCCTGTCTGTCCACATCCCGTCAGTCCCTTTGTCCGCATCCCGTCAGTCCCTGTCTGTCCACATCCCGTCAGTCCCTTTGTCCACATCCCGTCACTCCCTGTCTGTCCACATCCCGTCAGTCCCTGTCTGTCCACATCCCGTCAGTCTGTGTCTGTCCACATCCCGTCAGTCCCTTTGTCCACATCCCGTCAGTCCCTGTCTGTCCACATCCCGTCAGTCCCTTTGTCCACATCCCGTCACTCCCTGTCTGTCCACATCCCGTCAGTCCCTGTCTGTCCACATCCCGTCAGTCTGTGTCTGTCCACATCCCGTCAGTCCCTTTGTCCACATCCCGTCAGACCCTGTCTGTCTACATCCCGTCAGTCCCTTTGTCTACATCCCGTCAGCCCCTGTCTGTCCACATCCCGTCAGACCCTGTCTGTCCACATCCCGTCAGTCCCTTTGTCCACATCCCATCAGTCCCTGTCAGCCCACATCCCGTCAGTCCCTGTCTGTCCACATCCCGTCAGTCCCTTTGTCCGCATCCCGTCAGTCGCATGTTTTCGTGCTTGTTCACACATGTTCTAAAATGTATGCTTCGGGAAGTGGTTGAATGCATTTCAATTCGCTGTACGATGGTGCATCTAAGGTTCCGATGATTGTAGGTTCGAATCCTAGTTTATACATCAGCACCCTTGCACCTGTGTGGTAAACGTACACAACTTCATTCCTTTCGGCCGTTTCTCACACAGTAACATGACACGCAATGATTGGTCCACCCAGTTTGTGTAAAACGTGCCCCGCGGACGGTTGTTATAATGCTATGATTCACATTTTCGCTGTATGTCGAGGCACTGTAAGCGACCCTGTTGTGATTCCGGGTCCGGTCGGGTAGCCTAGTGGTTAAAGCGTTCGTTCGTCACGCCGAAGACCCGGGTTCAATTCCCGACATGAGTACAATGTGTGAAGCCCTTTTCTGGTGTTCCCCGCCGTAAGTTTGCCTGAGTTTTGCTAAAAGTGGCGTGAAACCATACTCACTCACTCCGTGTCAGAATAGGTTCCCAGCGACTAAGAGGATTGGGTGGTCTGACTCGGCGACTTGGTTGATAGCGTGTCTTCCTACCCCGAAGGCGTGGATCGTTGCTCACAATGTCGATCACTGGACTATCCGGGGTAGAATAGGTCTTCAGCAACCCATACCTGCCGTAAAAGGCGACTATGCATGTCGTAAGAGGCGACTACGGGATCGTGTGGTTAGGCTCGCTGACTTGGTCATCGATCACAATTGCGTGGATCGATGCTCGTGATGTCAGTCACCAGATTGTCTGGTCCAGACTCGATTATTTACAGACCGCATATAGCTGGAATATGGCTGAGTACGGAGTTGACAAGCAAACAAACAAACAAGCAAATAAACAGTTAGCGAACGATTTTGTTTTATGTTTTCTAGTGGAACCTTGTCTGTGACAAGGACACCGTTGGGGCAACGCTGACGTCCATTCAGATGATAGGCGTGATGGTAGGAGCATTTGTCGGAGGTCAGTCAGCTGATGTTATTGGAAGAAAGAAGACCTACTATCTATCCATGCTTCTGCACGGCGTGTCGAACCTAGTAGCAGCTTTCTCGGTGTCTTGGCAAATGTTCGCTACTCTCAGATTCTTTATAGGCTGTGGGATAGGCATATACCTTTCAACGTCGTATCCGTATGCGATGGAGTTCGTGGGCACCAAATGGAGGTCTGTGTGTTCCTCGTTGCCTATCTGGACGACTGGGGTCGGATGTATGGCACTGGCGACCTGGTTGCAGCCAGACTGGTACTACCAACACATCATCAATGCAGCTCTGCACATCCCATTCTTCCTGGGATGGTTGTAAGTGCAACAAACGTACATGGCATATCTAGTTTCAATAGGCATATATCGTTTCATCTCCCAAGGGAAAGGGGCACGGGTGGACAGGGTTAGACACGCCACTGGTCCGATAGCCCGAGACTATTGGAAATCCAGAGGGACTAGTTTCCTACAAAATCTATATCTTTTGCATAAACCACTAGTGCGAAATATCATCCGTACTAGTTGGATATTACCAATGGTGTCTATCCCTGAGTGGGATGGTTGTGTTCCCGATCGTTATTTGCTCCTCGCGTGTAATCGGGAGTGACTTCCCTTGGAATATCACGATCGGCTCCATGCGGGCTTACTCGGCTTATTCCGATGTACACCAGGCATTCGTCACCACTCGCCCCTTTCCGCAACCTGCAAGAAGACTCGTTCCCCTATCGATGAATGTTATGTGCGAAAATACGACAAACCAATCAGAATGCGCGTTTGATTTTAAGTTCTTCGTCAAAGAATCCCTCAGAAATAATTTTTGATTTTACATATGTCTTGCATCTAAAATATACCCAAGACACAGTTAAATGTGTTCAATCATACTGTATAACTCCGCACGTCCCAATGTGCTTTAAATTGCATCTGAAATATATATAATACATGGGGAAATAATATGTGAACCATTACGCAACGAGTTGACAATTGTTTTGAGTATGCCCGTTTGCGCTAAGACGGAACCCGGTCGCAAAAATGGCAATGAGAGGGGCACGAGTCGCTATTCGGCTTGTCCCGGAATAACACGAGTTGGTCACGAATGGTACACCAGGATGACTCACGATCAAATGGAGTGGGCCGTGCGTTTCCTTTGGTGTGAATCTAGATTGCTATTTAAATTCATAAAGTCAAGATAACCACAAATATCAGTACTAGGTTTTCAATTCGTTTACATGAATCACAGTTTCTTTTGGGTTTGAATATATTTCCTCTTGTTCAGCGGGGGACGCGGGGAACAACAGAAACCTATGGTCGGCTCGATTCGCGGTTCGCCCCGATTATGTTTGTAGGTTAGTCAGCACTCATGCTCCTTGGTTATACCAAAGTGAGTGAGTGAGTGAGTGAGTGAGTGAGTGAGTGAGTGAGTATGGTTTTACGCCGCTTTTAGCAATATTCAAGCAATATCACGGCGGGGGACATCAGAAATGGGCTTCACACATTGTACCCATGTCGGGAATCGAACCCGGGTCTTTGGCGTGACGAGCGAACGCTTTAACCACTAGGCTACCCGACCGCCCCTTATACCAAAGTGGTAAAGGCCTGAGACCTGCATCACTTCGGGCTTTCCTCCCACTTTAATCTAACATGCGGTGATATAACTGGAATACTGTTTAAAGCGGCGTTCAAAGCTAACTCACTCACTCATTCATGTTCAGCTTCGTCCCGGAAAGCCTACGCTGGCTGACTGTGCAGGGGCGACTTGGGGAGGCGGAGGAGGTGGTTGATCAGATGGGTCGGTACAACCGGAGACAGAAATCTCCCAACACCGCACAGCTGCTGAAACAGGTTGCAGAGGAGGAAAAGATATTGAGGGCGTCGGGCACCAAGTACACATACCTCGACCTGTACAAGGGCTGGAGCATGTTTCGGAAGTCGGTCGTCATCCAGTTCCTCTGGTGAGTGTGGGGAAGGAGAGAGGAGGATCTGTTGTAAGAACGTCACGGGAACTTTATCAGGAAGTGTGATCGCCACTGGTGTTACCTGTTACCAGGGAAGGACACGGGACGCGATCTGTACAAGGGCTGGGTCGTTCGAAGTCTCCCGTCATACATATTGTCTGCTCAGTAAAGCGGGCGTGGCGTGGCGTGGCGTGGTGTGGTGGAACGGTGTGATGTGATTTGGTAGTGTAGTGATATGCGTTTGGCCTGGCGTGACGTGGCGTGGTGTAACGGTGTGATGTAGGGGTTTGGTAGTGTAGTAATGGGCGTGTGGCATGGCGTAGCGCGGCGTAGCGGTGTGATGTAGTGGTTTGGTAGTGAAGTAATGGGCGTGTGGCGTGGCGTGGCGTGGCGTGGCGTGGTGTGGTGTGGCGTGGCGTGGCGTGGGGTGGCGTGATGCGGTGCGGTGGAACGGTGTGATTTAGTGGTTTTGTAGTGGCGTGGCGTGGCGTGGCGTGGCGTGATACGGTGCGTAGGAACCGTGTGATGTAGTGGTATGGTAGTGTAGTGATGAGTGCGGTGCGGTGCGGTGCGGTGCGGTGCGGTGCGGTGCGGCGCGGCTCGGTAGTAGTTTTGGTGTGGTAGCATTGTGTTTTAGTGGTTTGGTGGGTTTCCTGGTGGTTTATATACAATTGCAAATATACAACATGGTAGCATTTATGGTCAGGGATTAGTCTGTGATTAAAAGTACGAGGTAACATTGGTATAGATAGCGTTGATAAGAAGCTTTTACACGTGTTCGATATGATGACATGGTGACATGATCACTATTGCAGGGCATGCATGTCTCTTGTCTACTACGGTCTGTCCTTCGGGGTAGGAACTCTATCAGGAAACCTTTACCTCAACATCTTCCTCATGGGCATCGTGGAGCTCCCTGGCACCTGTCTGCTGTTCCTCGTAGCTAACAAGTAGGTCCGTCTTACAGCGGAGGTGGGTGAGTGAATGAGTAAACACCGCTATAAATAATATTTCAGTTATGTAACACCGCGTTACCTTGAGGAAAAGTTAAAAGAAATGCAGGTTCCAGACAAATGCCACGCTGATGATAGATACGTGTACCGGTCCTAACAGACCAAAAATAATAATCGTGCCAAACTTTGGATTCGAACCCATGAACAGCACATGTTTTTTCATGGAACTTGGTCCGCCTCACAGCCCCTGAACCATACTATTTTCCCTTCCGCTCAGCCCTTTCTGTAATGCAAAGTGTCTAAATGAAGCAAGTCTAGATTTTCATGTTCCTCAGGTTCAGATTGTGAATCTCCCCTCTTACTGGGCCTCCTTTTCAATTTAAATGGCGTTATTTGTTTCTATTGAAATAAGATATATTTCGAGACTAAGCGTCAGTCTACATGGGACGCAACTCTCCACCACGATTACCTGACATAACTAGACCACACTTCCGTCTCAACAGATATCACCCTGTTTTAGAAATAGTAAACGAACTTCCCGTTGCATAAATGTATTCTCACTGTATATGATATAACGGAAACGCTTTATTTCAGGGCATTATCATTTGCAGAAGCCTGAGGTCTTCAATGAACTTCCCGACGAAGGAGGGCAGTTGAAACGAGCGAGGGCTTCTGAAAATGATAATGCCCTGAAAAATAGCGTTTCCGATATTATAGCTAAAATGGATAGAATGTGTTAGGGCTGGGACGGGTAAATCAAGTACCCGGGTCGCGTGGGTACTGAGTAGGACCCGGGTACCCACATGACTACCCGGACCCGTGGGTATATATTGTTTAATGACAAATATTATCTAGAAATAGAAGTCACTTTCTTTCTGACTATGCACCCATTCCTTCTGATTTTTCATATGATTGAATAAAGATATAAGTTATATATATAAACGTAATTCAACTTCAGTGTATGAATGACCAGATTGTTTAATACGTGTATAGAATACATTTTGCCAGGGCTATTCTAAAAATGTTCCCAAATCGGACATTTTGGGACATCTCCTGAGACCTACAGCGGGTACCCGGGTAGGGCCGGGGGGGGGATGTACCCGAGTAGTAAATTTGGACTCGTCCCAGCCCTAGAATGTGTTATCAAATAAAAATAAACAACAATATCGGTTTTGAAACATTTACTGCAATCAACACACAGAAATGTCACTGAGCCACTTTTAGAAATATGGAAACGTCATAGAAAAAACCAGATGTCGTCACTATTAAACATTATAGCTAAAATGGATAGAATTATCATTAACCCTCTGGATGCCGAGTTGTTGTTTTCTGGCGCACATTTTCCTAAGATCTGAAAAGTGAAGGTTGTGCGAGAATTGCGCTCACGCGGCACTGGATCTACCTCTGGCTATACAAATACGCAGAGGTGGAGAATATTAAATTTCCTATTTGATGGTGTAAATTTAACTGCAAATATTAAACCGGTTTTAAAAAAAGACACTCCTTAGTGTTGTCAGAGAATTTATTCTGCGTTGAAAAACGGTAAATTTCTCCGCTTTTTATCGTACACGGATAAAAGTACTGTGCGACGATTTTTTTATTTATAGGTTTTACGGAAACTGTGAGCGAACAAAATACTGCCTAATATCCGAACGACATAGATATATATTAAATGGAGTTATATGCGTATGTATAACGACATATATTCAATGCCAAAAATAGCATGTGGTAAAGACGAAAGCTGATTTTCTTTATGACGTCAAAAGGCGACAGAGAGGTTACACACGTACAAAGGAAAGGGGGCATAACTCCGCTATGCTTAGCACTAGTTTATTATTAACTTGGGTCTAACTTGGTGAGAATTAGCTGTGAGAATTAGCTGTGGGTAAGGACAATATATTGTCGTGGTGTTTTGTTTAGAGGAACCAAACTATTCCAACACAAATATCTATATTGAAACTGTATACCTTTAGTTATAAAAAAAACCATAGGAAATGATGAAATCGTACTTCATAAAAAAAAAGGTAATAGAGAAATGGATGACCCTATCTAACCTATAACTTAGTCCTTAGATTCCAACATTCTCCTGAATGTGTAAGTGTAATTTGACTAATGTTGCACCATTATTAATGTAGCACTAGCCTTATCATCAAATGTAATGAAATACAAAAAAAACCCTCCATTCCAGCTTTTTGACGTCATGGCTTGTTTTATGTCTTTGATAACGTCGGAGAAAGACGACACTGGTATTTTGATGAAATATATATGTCCCCCAATTTTCGTTCATGGTATGGAAAATCTCGATGTGTAAAACGGAATTTGACGCTTTTTCGACACAACATGAAATGACTGCTTTCACCAAGTAAAAAATATTTTGAATATGTAAACAATTTGATAGTTTATCGTGTATCTTAATTGGACAAGACACGCACCTGTTTGACATCAATTTACGTAATGAAATACCCAAAAGAATATTTCAAAACAACCAAAATTATATTCAATATTGGACATATATTTATTCATTATTATGTCATTTTATCTCTTCATCTCGTCTCAGAATTACACAATAAAAGATGCGAAGAAAGCTCTGTTGGTATAGAATTAACAGGATAACGGGGTATACATGGCATGGGTTTTATTTTGATACTTTTTACAATTCCTGGAAAATAAGGTACACAGTTTTACATTCTGTGATCACAATATTGAAAAAAGAATAATCACATTGATTAACTGATGCAAAACGAGAGGAATAAGTCGTAAATTTTTTGTGACTAACGCGCACCTGGCGAATCGTTAGATATCACTGTTCTGTGCGTCAAACGACTTTAAAAAAATAATTTTAAGACCAAGACAATTCTTTCAGAAATGTGTGCATATATTTTAACGAAAAATATTATCCATTTGTTAAAATGATAAACATATGTATATATTCAGTTTTATTTGTAAAACAAAATGCTATTCATGGTTATATGAACTTGTATTGACTATTACACATCACAAGAAATACGTACATGCTGCAGTTACATTTACACTAAGTCTTCATCTTGTAACACTTGTCAAAAGAAAAGAAATATTGTATTCGACACTATAAACCTATCAATTCTTATGTAAACAGTGTTCAAACAAACAGGAGATTATCAACGGTTCATATACATGTTATGGCCTATATTTACGTATGATATCATTTTGAACATTGGCAAATATCCAAAATGAAATTAATTGTGTAAAAAATTATGTATAGAAGATATGCAAAATCTACATCATAACTTAAACTGTAAACAGCATGATACAATGATCGTGTGCACTCTCATTCAAGGACCTTCACCTAAAAGAAATATGAACAACAATGTTGACGTATGACATCACTCCCGACAAAGATCACGAGGGAGGACACCGCCCGGATTAACGAAGTTCAGCTTTAAATTAACAACAAACATTCAGAAAGTTTTCCTTCTTTGGTAATTCGAAATGTTTGGACATGAGAAACTTTATATCCAGGGGTACCTTCAGTTCAAAGATGTACTCTTTCTGTTTACAGAATTGGAAGAAGGTGGACGAGCTTTGTTTATTTTGGGGCCGCGTCGATTTCTGCTTTTGCTATACCCGTGGTGTCGATATATGGTGAGATATAATGTATACCACAACTCTGTCAAGCTCGATACGCTAGATAAAGTCATAAAGAACACTTAGGTTAAAGAAGGGCTTGAGCCCAAATAACCAACTGCTATGGCTGAGCTAACCACGCCCAAAAAGGGGAGGTTACTCTAAAACTTCATTCTAAAAATGACTGGAATCTTTATGCAAGACGATAGGCAAATTACCGGTGACTCTTCTTTATGCGTTAACGTCAGACACCTGTAGTTCCTCGATATAAAGTACGGGACAACATGTGTTACAACGACCTTGCCTTTAGTCATAAAATGGTTCGCTATGATGTGGCGGAAATGGGGAATATGCATGTAGATCTCATGCACGGACCCACACACGCGCGCTCACACACACACACAGAGACGCGCGCGAGCGCACACATGTTCACACACAAGCACGCGAGCGCTCACACTCACGCACAGACAGACACACACCACACACATACGCACACACACACACACACACACACGCGTGTACACGTGCAATAATCCTGAACTCGACATTATCCAGTCACAGTTCACATCACCACAATCGATTGTGTCTGAAATTGTTTTTACATATTTGTAATCCTAGCATGCCCAGATCAAACTTCAGACAATACAACTGGATCACTTCATGGCACCTATGCTCATCTGGCAATTTCTTTCAATTTACAAAATGTAAACCTTAGTAGCTTTATCAACTGTCGCAGTCTTTAGGGCTCAGTCACACATTCAGGATTTTTACTGCCGTCCTTGATAGGACCATTCCCGTTTAAATTTGTCAAAATCTGATCACGATCCTGTGATTCGTGGCGAAAAACTCACAAACATTGATATTGTTCAGGAAGCGTCCCGATTTAGCCGAATTCGTCCCGATTCTCCCGTTCTCAATCCGAATCGGATCCGATTTGTATCTTCCGCATGGTAAAAAACGACCGAATCTGTCCCGACAGCGTCCCGATTCTCCCGAATGCGATCAGACAGTGACCGGACAGTGACCCGACAAGGACGGTTCGCATTCGGCAAGATCTGGAAACAATCTGAACTCAATCGACAAGAAACGTCAATGAACAATTCATGCCCGTTCATCACGACAGCGTCCCGATCCACAGGACACCGTCCAGACAACACAGGACATTGTTACGATTTTGATCCGATACAGCAGAATCTGTCATGACATAGTCACGATTGTAATCCGACTAGAAAACAATCGGCCGAGTTTCCCGAATGTTACGGGACGCACCATACTGTCTGGAGTGCTTGGCCGACCTCTCTCGACCTTTCCCGATCCGTAGGACTTTGTACGAACGCATACGACTGCGTTCAGACAATGAAAGAACATTCCAGATCATTGAGGATAGTAATCCGACTTTTTCACTTTTCGTGTCGCAGCGCTGTCTGATCTCAAACGGGAGCCATAATCGGCACTGTGTGAACCTGGCCTTACGCTGTGTTTATGAGAAACTGCAGTTGTTTGTTTGAAAAATGTTGTGACATAACGAGATTGAATACTTTTATCAACAGGACTGAAAAATGTACTTGAAATTGTAATTACGCTTGTTTGTTTGTTGTTTAACGCCGTACTCAGAAATATTCCAGCTATATGACGTCGGTCTGTAAATAATCAAATCTGGACCAGATAATCCAGTGACTGACATCATGAGCATCGATCCACGCAATTGGGATACGATGACGTGTCATGTGATCAAACTTACCGTCGTTATTAATATTCATGATTGTGTCAAAAGATTATGCAGTGCATCACAGCTGCGTACGGAAGCCTTTTAGGGCCATTTGTTTTTTATAAAACATTTCGATACTATCTTGAAATTTCAAGAAACTAACTTAAAATTTCAAGAAACTAAGTTGAAATTTCAGGATACTAAGTTGAAATTTCAAGATAGTATCTTGTATTCCAAGATGGTATCTATAAATTTCAACTTCTGCATCTTGAAATTTCAACTTAGTTTCTTGAAATTTCAACTTAGTATCTTAAAATTTCAAGATAGTATCGAAAAAAACAAAAAACAAATGGCCCTAAAAGGCTTCCATAGCTGCGGAAACATACAGCTAGTTTCAAACAGAAAATCATCGGAGGTAATTTGAACAACTGGATATATGATCAGCCAAGCGAAGTCAGCTTTAGCAGTTCGTTGAAAGAAAGAAGAGAATAACACGAATATATAATTGAAATTGAAGGTTGATGTTGTAAGAATTATTTGTCATCCACATACATGAATACCGCTTTTCACAAGACACGTTACATTTCAGGAGGCATATACTGCAGGTTAAGTAGATACCCATGGTTGAAAGTGGCTAAAATGAAACAAAAGTGCGTGTGTGGTTTTACGCCGCTTTTAGCAATATTCCCGCAATATCACGGCGGGGGACACCAGAAATGGACTTCACACATTGTACCCATGTCGGGAATCGAACCCGGGTCTTCGGCGTGACGAGCGATCGCTTTAACCACTGGGCTACCCGACCGCCCCGAAACAAGAAAGAAATGATTATTTGTACGGTGATGTCATATCATAGTTCAACCTGTGTTTTGGACCTTGAGTTTGCAGTGTTTCCGCGACTGTTTTTAGTTAAATTCAATTTTCAAATTTAAACTCTCTTATGCCGTCAGTATAGATTTTCCCTACCCATTGACTGGCATGAGTGAGCGTGTAAATGCATTTCGCCTGTTATTGCGTTTGTCATAAATAATTGAAAATAATACCCAAAAAAGGCATTAATACATAGAGTGATACCAGTACTGCTGGATCATAAATGAAGTTGCTGAAATCAATTCTTCCGGGTATATATGGGGGCACGGAGGCTTGGCATTTTAAGACATATTTGGTATGGTACTTTCTCTACCCCGGGTAGCACGGGTGGCCCAGTCATCTAAGGCGCCGCGATTCGCTGTGCAGAGTTGCGTCCCTTGGGCACGCCAGAAACCTGTGATTGTGGGTTCGAATCCCGGTTCGCCCCGAAATTTGTTTCTAGGTTTGTCAGCACCATACCCGTGCTCGTGGGTTTCACCGAAGTGGTAAACGAGACCTGCATCACTTCGGGCTTTCCTCCCACATTAAGTTGACACGCCGTGATATAATTGGAATACTGATAAAGGCGGCGCTAAACCCACCTCACTCACTCACTCCGGTTTTATATATATATGGTAATGTGTTTGGAAGATGTCCTTGACTCACGTTGCCGAATATCAATGAACGTTAAGACCAACCATTTAAAGCATAGTATTACGTAGAATGGAATAACTTCTGTGACAAAAGCTCGACTGCTTTGAAGTCGGAAAAACGGCGGATGTTGACAGTATATCTCATCAACTCTCTGATTGGTCAATCGTGAGGTTTGATTGACAGGTGTCGATACGTTAATTTCAAGTTAATGTCATGCAAAACCACTTTGACTGTTCGAATCGATTTCAGTCATTCAAAGATGAATAATTACCCTCATTGCACTCGCGGCATTTCTGGACCGTCGAGACCTAGACAAGACAACGGCTCATTAGGGAGGCGCCTGGTTCTCTGCCAGATCCATATAACACGCCCCATTTTAATCTTGGAAAGGCGACTATGCTTGTCGTAAAAGGCGACTAACGGGATCGGGTGGTCAGACTTGCTGACTTGGTTGATGCATGTCATCGGCCCCAATTGCGTGGATCGATGCTCATGATATTAATCACTGGATTGTCCAGTCCAGACTCGATTATTTACAGACCGCCGTCATATGGCTGGAATATTGCTGAGTGCGGCGTTAAACAACAAACCAACCAACCAACCATTTTAATCTTGGGAACCAATTTGTCCAGAAACTCTCCATGCTGTGGACAATCTGGCTCAAAGGTATTTCCAAAATTCAACATGCTGTTTTGATGGGCACATACTAAGGAAGAAAAAATAAAAGAAAATGCGAGAATATTTTTCTTTGCTCAAAACTCATGTTTTTCTTTTGGAAATATATAAATAGTATACATGTATCCGACTTGACGATGTTATTGAAGAAATAATGTTTGCTCTACCCCCATGTGTAGTGTAATAAGGTATTGTTTTGGCCTGAACTATATCAGCTTTAGAGCGCAATCATTATAGAACGTTACACTACGTCGTTCTGCATTATACTCATTCGGGGCAAAATTAAACTTTATTGCACTACTCATGGGGGTAGAGCAAACTTTATTACTTTTTAAGGTGAGGAATTTAAGACTAGCCTTGTGTTTTATTGGAACTGGCTTAAATTTCATGATCCGTTCGGTGGGTGGTTATCGATAGTCCCATGCATCATTAAGTTGTTTATATGCGTGAAGATGCAGAATAGATTAGGTCTTCAGCAACCCATGCTTGCCGTAAGAGGCGACTAGGGGGATCGGGTGGTCAGGCTCGCTGACTTGGTTGATGCATGTCATCGTATCCCAATTGCATGGATCGATGCTCATGATATCAATCACTGGATTGTCTGGTCCAGACTCGATTATTTACAGACCGCCGTCATATAGCTGGAAAATTGGTGAGTGCGGCGTTAAATAACCAACAAACAAACATCACGAGACTTAAACATTCTACAAGTGCATTGGGGGCACATGTAAAAATATCGCTGCTTATTGTGAGCGGAGGTTTATCATGCCGTATATGTTACAACTCTGTTTCTTCCACTGATGTCCAAACTTTATTTCTCAGATAAAGTACAGTCGCCGCCTTTGATCTTTTAACGAAGCATCTTAGAATGCGCATAACACAGTCACTGAAAGGATGTACGGCTACTGCATGTGGTCCTCAAAATCAGGGGCCTGTTGCACAAAACGATCTTAGTGCTAGGATTGTCGTAAGCCTTTGTTAAAGTATGGGAGTTACGATCATCTTAGCGCTAAGATCGCTTTGTGGAACGGACCCAAGGACATTAGGAATAGTATCGGAAGCATATCCAGTTATTAAGACTTAGTTTGGTGTCGATGTCCATACAACGCCGAACACGAGGGGGCGGGTAAGGTGCAGAATGCGACCCCTCTTCCCCCACCCCTTCCTACTGCCCCTTTTTAAACATACTGAAAATGGAAAGTGTGATTTGTATGTCCGTGTTTCAGTCGATGCAGACAAACAGGGGTCGATCATAACCGGCCTCGCTCTGGTCTGCAAACTGGGAATTGGAGTGGGGTGGGGAGCCGTACAGATCCTCTCCAGTGAAACCTACCCAACTGTCATCAGGTTTGTATGCGGACATTTATACTGCATGAACATGGCGGACATATATACTGCATGAACATGGCGGGCATATATACTGCATGAACATGGCGGACATATATACTGCATGAACATGGCGGACATATATACTGAGTGAACATGGCGAATATATATATTGCATGAACATGGCGGACATATATACTGCATGAACATGGCGAACATATATACTGAGTGAACATGGCGAACATATATATTGCATGAACATGGCGGACATATATACTGCATGAGCATGGCGAATATATATATTGCATGAACATGGCGGACATACATATATACTGCATGAACATGGCGGACATACATATATACTGCATGAACATGGCGGACATACATATAAATATTTACTGCATGAATATGGCGGACACATATGGCCTCAGACCACAGTTATCTCCCCTAAGTTTTACCATGAACCGGAAGGAAAATAGGAGAATATAGTACCCTGTTTAAATGGGCTGTTCAGCCTGTGCCAATTGTTTTGGAGTGACTTGTGATAGCTTAAATGAAAGGTTAGACATTGCAGTATGTTGCCAATTTTTTGTTAGTCACATGCTGTGAAGGTATTGATTCCAGCCTCCCATGACTTGGCCCCCAAGTTGAAGGCCGCTCTGTGTGTTTCGGCTCGAAACTTCCGGTGAGCACTGTTGACAGTGGTTACTGCGAAAGGGAGCTGGTCAATGCACGCTGAAACTTTGTGTATTGGCAGGTTGGTCAGCATGCAACAGGAGAACAGCCTACGACTGATAATAAATATGGTGGGCTGTCATGTCACTGTAGATAACAAAGAAGGAAATTAATTGTGGTCTGAGGCCATATACTGCATGAACATGGCGGATATGGCGGATATATACGCTGAATGAACATATCAAAGCTTTAGTGGTTTTCCCCTTGAAAATATCACACATTATGAAGAATTCATATACTGCAGTTTGAAAAGTACAAGGTCAGAGTGCCCTTGGTCCCAGAACAAATATCAGCACACTCCAACGCAGTGATTATTTAGCATTACGCCACAGCCACAGGCTAATTGGCAGTTCGAGTCACCGGAATTTTCTCTTGTTTGTAAACAAACGCGCTATCACTGAAGTCAGAGATCAGGTGCTAATTGGAGTCTTTCAGTACGATTTGCAGTTTGATTTGAACAAGTATAACGACAGCGACAGTGCAGAGCATGACAATATATATTTGCACATCATTGTGGTCGTGATTGTCAACAAACATTGATGCGAAATGGAAAATTCGCGTTTTAAATAATTATGTTGATAAAGGTTAAGAATTTCATGTCATAATTTTAGCTTTTCTAGTTTCTTTTGAGCTTTCTTATTATTGTAGAAAGGGATTTGTCGGTTTTGTTCTGTTATAATGTGATTTTGTAATTTGTTGAATAGTCTGTGAAGATGTGACCGCCGGGAAGGTAGGGGGTGCAGAGTGCACTGGAGGTTGGATTTCTATGATTGATTCAACCCCTCTGTACATGCAGGCCTATACCGCCTCTGTAGTCTAGTGGTAGAGCGGAAGGTCGAGGGTCATACCAAAAGGCGTTAAAAGATGGCACTTGTTGTTACCCTGCCTGGCGCTTGGCATTACGGGGTAAAAACAAGGACTCAGAGTCAGTATACTTTGTCAGAGTGGGGTATTCATGTTAAACTGCGGCATGGTATCTCAGTGGGCTAGCACTATAAATCGACATCAGTCCGGACTAGTACAAGCAGCCACACACACAAACACAAACATGCGCGCACACACACATACAAACACACTCGTGCATGGGGACGGTCGGGCAGCCTAGTGGTTAAAGCGTTCGCTCGTAATGCCGAAGACCCGGGTTCGATTCCCGACATGAGTACAATGTGTGAAGACCATTTTCTGGTGTCCCCCGCCGTGATATTGCTGGAATATTGCTAAAAGCGGTGTAAAACCATACTCACTCACTCACAATCGTGCATGCACGTCGCTATATAAGTGCAATAAACTTAAACGCGACGTTAAACCCCATTTCACCTCATGCCGGTCTAACTTATACTTTCTATTTCAGAAATCTAGGTTTCGGTGCCGCCAATACAACATCTCGAATAGGAGGGATAATTTCACCATATATATTTTCGGGGGTAACGTTGCTGTTTTATTAGGTTTTCTTCATTTTCACACAACCCTTAGACAGGAAAGAAGATATATATAGTTCAATATAATGCCCAACTTTTGATTGGGATTCCGGAAAGATAGCACACTAAACTGACGTAACTTACAGCGAGTATGCGTAAACTCTGCTCTTTCCTGTGAGACCCGTGAAGATCCGGGGTAGAATAGGTCTTACCTGCCTGGCGCTCGCCGTAAAAGGCGACTATGCGTGTCGTAAGAGGCGACTAACGGGATCGGGTGGTCATGCTCGCTGACTTGGTTGATGCATGTCATCGTATCCCAATTGCGTAGATCGATGTTCATGATGTCAATCACTGGATTGTCTTGGCCGGGCCAGACTCGATTATTTACAGACCGCCGTCATATAGCTGTAATATTACTGAGTGCGGCGTTAAACAACAAACAAACAAACCTGGTTGTGTTTGCTGCATGTCCATTTTGTTCGCGACGCCACTTTGTCAACTGCACCTTGTTAATATGAAATAATATATAAAATGATTTGATGACCAACCTTCCTACCTAGGATACTTTTTTTCAGAATAATACATGATAATAAATTACTGCTATTAAGTTGAAACAAATCATCATTACAGAAAAAGGGCGATGTCTTTGTTCCGTTCATGGTTGTCGGGTCGACGATGGCGGTGTGCGCAGGGCTGGCCATGCTCCTGGAAGAAACAACAGGGCGCCCTCTAGGGGACACAATGGTTGTAAAGGGAGACAACTCTAAAGCGAACAAAACGCCCGACACGGACTCTAATGTACACAATCCTGAGAAACAAACTGATTCTTTGTCATCTTGCTCATCCACGAAACTGTGACCTGAAGTTGGAAGAAACTGACATTGACTAAAGTAGTTGTTCTTTGATTTATAATAAACCGAAGTTGGAAACGACTTCCAAACTTTAGAGTTTCCTTGCCAACCACAGTTTTTGTGAATTTAAAGTTCACGATTGAGTTTGGTTAAACGCCGCTTTTAACAGCATTCCAGTTTTATCGCAGCGTGTCAGCTTAATGTGGGAGGAAAGCCCGAAGTGATGCGGGTCTCAGACGTTTACCACTTCGTTGAAACCCACGAGCACGGGTATGGTGCTGACACACCTAGAAACATAATCGGGGCGAACCGGGATTCGAACCCACAATCATAGGTTTCTGGCGTGCCCAAGGGACGCAACTCTGCACAGCGAAACGCGGCGCCTTAGACGACTGGGCCACCAGTACCCCAAGTTGTGAATGAAATTGACAAGTATGGAAACTACTTCCGAAGTAAGTGCCCCCTAAAGTTCATGTCTATAATTTTATATACATTAACTATCCGAACCGATTATACCATTCTCAGTGAAATTGGAGGCGCCAATAACCATGTGGTCTAGGGCACAACATAGTTGCATATAATGGCTCCGCTAGGATCCGCTAAGCGTGTGTTTGAATCTCACGTCTGTTTGTCTGTGTATGTGTGTGTGTGTCTATCTGTATATATGTGTTTATCTGTGTGTGCGTGCGTGCGGGTGTGTTTGTTTTTTGCTTAACGCCGCACTCAGAAATATTCCAGCTATATGACGGCGGTCTGTAAATAATCGACTCTGGACCAAACAATCCTGATTGACATCATGAACATCGATCTACGCAATTGGGATACGATGACATGCATCAACCAAGTCAGCGAGCCTGACCACCCGATCCACCGATATACAATGCCGCAGATTAATATCAATATCCCACGAAGACACAGTATACTGACTCCGAGCCGACAAGTCCTTGTAAATGCCGAGCGCCAGGCATGGTAAAAACAAATGCCATCTTTTAAAGTCTTTTGGTATGACGCGACCGGGGATGGAACCACAGACCTTCTGCTCTCAGGACTGACGCTCTTTCCACTAGACCACGGAGGCGGTCTCTCCCTTTTGTAAAACTTCGACATTGTCTTTACTCTATTTATAATAATGTGCATAGTATAAATGCGCCACAATTACATCCTAAAGCATGGTGAAAGCGCTTCAGTATTAGCAATGTCAGTGTACACTCGATTGTTATGTCACCAAGGCCGTAGTTAAGTTTATTTTACGGGGGGAGGGGGCAAAATATTAGTACAAGTATCACTTGTCCCCAACTCGATTCAAATAAAACTGTTTTCTATAAAAAAAAAAATCTAGGGGGTCAACTGGCAACCCCCCCCCCCCCCCCCCCCCCCCCACACACACACACCCCTGCCCCCCGGCTGGCTACGGCACTGGTCATCCACACCTCTTACACCTCTTACGGAGAATACAACCTACATCTTATCCTACCGGGTACCCATTCATCGCGGGGTGAGCATAGGCATAGTTCGGACATTCACTTGCCTATCAAAAACTTCTCTATTGATGTACGTCATAAAAGTGTGACTATGATGCTGAGTATGACAAGCGTGGTGGTGTTTCATCGCTTGACTCCATGGACTGCGGCAGGGGAACCATGACATATTTTAATAATGTCAAATACGCCCATTACATCTGCGCCTCAATGGCGTTAGTTTACTCCGACAATCTATAACATTACATAACGCAAGGGACAATGCCTTGTATCCCGTCAAATCGATATATCTTCATCATAATGAGATATGTTGTCACGCATTCCCACTGGCGAGCGAGATGGTCGCCACATCACCGTGGATGGAGTTGTGTTGTAAATGCAGATGCATCGTGTGAGTGTTGAACTCGATCTACAAATGGACCATGGTGCGTGGAATATAATCAGTGAACAACTATCACAAATCCATATGAAGCTGGAGATGTGTTTCAACATCGATTTTCTCCCCACTGTGGTCGTCTACAACAAATCACAGGATCTATACACTGGAAAAAAAAAATATTTCTATGTTTTATGATTGATAGAGCTGAGGGGCGTGAATATAATGTCAGCAACATGACTGTCCACACATCACGTTATTGACGATCATGTACACCGAGTCGACATTTCACAAGATGAAGGTAATGATGTGATAATGATGATGATGAGATGATGATGACCTGCTTAGACAGAATACCCACGGAGATCCTACATCTTCTCAGACAGATTACCCAGGGAGATCCTACACCTTCTAAGACAGAATACCCGGGGAGATCCTACATCGTCTCAGAAAGATTACCCACGAAGATCCGACACCTTCTAAGACAGAATACCCAGGGAGATCCTACACCTTCTAAGACCGAATACGGACGGAGATCCTACATCGTCTGAGATAGAATATCCACGGAGATCTTACATCGTCTGAGATAGAATACGCACGGAGACCTTACATCGTCTAAGACAGAATACCCACGGGGATCCCACATCCTCTCAGATTACCCATAGAGATCCTTCACCTTCTAACACAGAATACCCACGGAGATCCTATATCTTCTTAGACAGAATACCCACAGAGGTCCTACCTCTTCTGAGACAGAATACACAGGGAGATCCTACACCTTCCAACACAGAATACCCACAGAGATCCTCTATCTTCTTAGACAGAATACCAAGGGAGATCCTACATCTTCTGAGACAGAATACCCAGGGAGATCCTACACCTTCTATGACACATTACCCTCGGAGATCCTACATCTTCTGAGACAGACTGCTCACGGGGATCCTATACCTTCTATGACACATTACACTCGGAGATCCTACATCTTCTGAGACAAAATAACCACATCGCAAAAAACATCGCTTACACAACATTGTCAGAGCAGCAAATACGCACCTATTTCACCACAACCCGGTGTTCTCATCACCCATGCAGTATATTCAGTATTTGAATGTGAACCTCCATGTCCGATTGGCTGTACGCCTTGTTGCTACGTGACAGTGACGCTTTGCGTGACATGTTTAGAAGATGTAGCGAAACACCGTTAGACCGGGTCCCGTTAGTCAGTGATGACGCCAGATGTTTCCGGGAAGGGTTTGTATGGCCTGCTCTACTGGAAGCATCCGCCCCTCACACAATTTGTATAAAAAGCAAGTGTTTCTTTGATGCCTGACCCTGCTTAGCAGTACTCCTGCCATTCGAGGGCGGTCTGTGAAATAACCATAAAATCAAGTGACCTATGTATCAGAAAGTCCAGTGACAAAAAGGTGCATTTACTGATTTTGTTGACACTAAAATCGATATGTTAATTTTGTCAGCTGTATACATATGCAGAAATTCTGCTGCTTACTAGTGCAGAAAAAAAGTTCAAGAAATATATTCCTTTTACAACACTGTTTTAGGCTTTCAAATGAACAACAACAACAACAACAACAACAACAACAATAATAATAATAATAATAATAATAATAAACAGAGCCAACATTAAATAAATCGTTTATTCCTTGTATACATAGATACAAACTATAAGACATTACAACTGTGTGTTGCCCTCATACACTCGAACAGTGTGACCTGTTGATATTTGGAGAGATGTCACATTGCGGTATAATCTTACGTTGACGGTGTGTATTACGTCACGGGGTGTATTATTATTATTATTGACGTCACATTGCGGGTGTATAACGTTGTTGCGCCCCACAATGGGCGCCATCTTGGGATGTGACGTCACAGCTAAACCTACTATGGACAGCGTTATGGGAACACGTCAGTGGATAATGTCTGCACCACAGACTCAAACCTCCTTAACTCGAAGTCCTAGGGAACACCTGAAACATATCGGGTTATCCGTAGATCGACATAAGCGGTATTCCGAATGTACCTCCAACGCCATTAGGAATATTGCCGGGACTAGTCATAACGTCGTAATCGAGTTATAGAAGTTCGAGTTAACCAGGTTAAATTGCTTATGTATTTATTCCCGATAAAACAGTTTGTCTTAGTGGTTCTTCTAGACTAGAATTTTTTTTTTCATTTCAAATGAACGAAAATGAATAATCAAACATACCAGTGCTCTTAAGGTTAAATACGAATCCCGTTTGATCTAAAAGCCCAATTTCCTGGATGTCTATCACGTATGACATTGATAACACCAAACGAAAATGTTAACACAGTTTCAAAACTCAGATGGTTCTAAGTTACGTTGCTTATTTATCCCTGCAGTTCAAGTGTTGTGCGCAGGACCTACGTGGCCAAGGGACGTAAATACATACGTATTACTTATTTACTTACTTATCCCGTGCAGGTATAAATGTAGAAACACAGGTGAAGGTTATACAAATGAAATATATAATACAGAGGTGGTTCGCTAGGTGAGATAGGTATAACATCTGGCCTGTAAGCTATAGGACGTGACATCGGATCTAGTGACTTCTCGTCGCCAAATGTACAATATGTATAGTCAAATCGTGCATGTTCATTCTACAGTTTGAAAACTGCCCAAGATTTCGTTTTGCAGCTTTCTCGACATGCTGAAAAACTTGCGGAAAACAAGTTCACCTCTAGTATTCACAAAATGATTGTAAGTGAAGGACAATCTAGGGTCCACTGATAAGAGCCTAAGTCCCCGTGGAACATGCTTCATGCTGTGTCCTCCTCCAAGATGGTTGGTGAGTGTACTTCCTCCCTTGTTCAGATTTAGTTCAGTTACTTGCTACCTTGTTCCTGCTGCTCCATCTGGCACTCCGCCAGGTATATATCGATGGGTTTTTTAGGTATCTCTGGCACCAGTTGCCGCTTCTTGTGTTCCTTGTAGTTCTTCTTGGACACCAGCTTGTCGTTGATGTACAGGTAATTGACCATTGGCTTGTCAGACTTGTCCACGTCCACATCACTGAAGATATAGAAATTTCCTAGATGGTTCTCCCACCAGATGTGTACGTCGTATCCTTTGTCCTTAATCAGCATCTGTAACATAGTTATATCCGTATACCCAATATACTCCAAATACACGATATACATCGTATACACACCGTATACACAATATACTTCATATACATAATATGCACCGTATACACAATATACTCCATATACACAACATACGCCGTATACACAATATTCTCCATATACACAAACTACACCATATACACCGACAATATACTCCATATACACACTATAATCATATACACAATATACTCCATATACACTATACACACTTATACACAACACACACCATACACAACACACACCATACACAAATACACATAATAAACACAATATACATTATACACATCAAATACATAACATACACTGAATGGACATTATACACCATATACACATTAGACACCATATACATCATACACACATTATACATCATACACACATTATACACCATATACACATTATACACCATATACACATTATACATCATATACACATACATCATACACACATTATACACGATATACACATTATACACCATATACACATTATACATCATATACACATTATACATCATACACACATTATACACCATATACACATTATACATCATATTCAGATCACAATATACATCATACACACATTATACACCATATACACATTATACACATTATACACCATATACACATACACATTATACAACATATACACATTATACACCATATACACATACACATTATACAACATATACATATTATACACCATTGTCACATTATACATTATACACACATTATACACCATATACACATTATACACGATATACACCATACGCACAATTCAAGGTTATACATGCATGTTAATCACAACCATAACATACACCGTAAACACAATACTCACCATATACAAACATAAACCTTACACATAATACACGTAATATATACACCATATACATTATATACACTGTATAAAAAATATACGAAATATACATAAAATATATATAATATACATAGTATACACCGTATCGACAATCTACAGCATATACAGAATATACAATATTTATATATCATATACATAATATACACAATATAAACATATTCATGATGTATATATCATGTACATAATAGACACTGTACAATATACACAACATACACTATATACATGACTAATACATAATGCACAGAACATATACCGTATACACAATATACACCGTATACACAACATATACCACATACATATTATGGAAAATGATATTTTAGAGTCGTAGACGTTTTATGTGTCTGTTCAAGTTACCCGAATATATCTTCTCATTAGAATAGTAGCCTCACATTATCCCATCTAGGTCTGGGGACATTTATATTAACTCACAGTAACATATTCAGTAAAGTGTTCACTTATATCATTAATACACGTTTGGTGCTTTGGGCAGACACATTTGGAAAAAGTCAACGAGGCACAATTTGAATGTAGATAGGGATATGGCACAGTTGATAACGTTTTTATTTTGCAGTCAGTTATACAAAAATATCTAACAACAAAGGGTGGGGCATGGCGTATTTGATTTTGCTGAAGCATTTGTCTCTGTTCATAGCTCTCGGAGCTATTTAAAACGCATGGACTTGTGGCAAAATTGGGAAATCATTGAGCAGAATCTAGCATAATGTGTGTGTAACAACACTACTGTATCAGATACGTTTGCATGTGAACCAATACCACTACAACCGTTATTAAGCGAAATTATATACTTTATCATGATATCGGCGGCTTGATATTACACCTGGGGCATCTCGTTTTCACAAATTGCTTTATGTATGTTTTACAAAACATAAATTTCATTTTTTATGTGATGCTGCAATGGAAGTGTCGGTCAATGGAAAGACAGAAAACGTTACCTCACTTTGACTTTAAGTTCGTTACAGAATATTAAATCAGACTAGATGAGAAGAGACAAAAACATATTTCGTATCGGTGAAATTTCGAGTCGGCTGAACCTTGTACCAGGTTATTTCTAAAACGCCTGACTCCAACTATAGGTTTCATTCCATTCGCTGTGGCTACTTACTTCTGTCTGGATTGGGTCGTCATCAAGGTACACACACATACTGTCTCGAGCTGAAACAACCACACCATATCATCAGTTGCAGTCTATTATACTCAACAAAAACGTTAGGGATTATGAATTTATTGTGTGTATGTTTTTGTTGTGAAGACTGAGATTCTTAAATGTGTAGGTTGATAATAAGAAATATTCCATGATCTGTGAGTGTGTGTGTGTGTGTGTGTGTGTGTGTGTGTGTGTGTGTGTGTGTGCTTGCGGGCGTGCGCGTTTGTGTATCTGTGTGTATATAAAAAAATAAAATTCTTGAAAAAACTAATTATGGTTCAGATTGTTGAAAAAACCCAATAACATTGTCAATAAAAACAACATTGTTGCAAGATGATTTTTATGAATGAAATATTTTGGATTGTAGTTTTAATTAATCTGGTCTGGCAGCTGTAGCTGAAAAAAATATCAAGACAGAAAAAAAAACATCCCCCGAATATCAAATGATCGGTTCCTAAGTAGTATTCCGGTGATCAATGAATTAGGTGATATTCAGGATTCAGGGGAGGTGAGGGTTTGGGGGGCCCTCAGTTATCACCGGGACAGTATTTAACTATATCACGCCATGTTTGCCCCACTAATGTTGAGTTGGGCGTAAATTGTTTTGTGATACCTAAGTGTCTAGCGTTAACAGTTCAATGAGCAGGTGTCGAAACTAGGAATGGAATCTACCCCAGCTCTGCTGAGTGGGTGATGGAGACGGGGACCTCTGGTCACCCGTACCCTCTGTATTCCATTCAAGGTGAAGGTCACAATTGCAAGACCTGGTATACATACATTTGTTTGTTTGTTTGTTTGTTTGTTTGTTTGTTGTTTAACGCCGCAATCAGCAAAATTGCAGCTATTTGGCGGCAGTCTCTACATTATCGAATATGAACCAGACATTCCAGTGATTGACATCATGAGCATCAATCTACGTAACTGGGATACGATGACATGCATCAACCAGGTCAGCGAGCCTTAGCACCCGATCCTGTTAGCCGCTTCTTACGACAAGCATGGGTTGCTGAAGACCAATTCTGACCCGGAATCTTCACGGAACGGTAACCACTCAGATGAACTTTTGTGTGCCGTTAGATCACATATACGCACAGTAAATGACAGACAAGCTGGGACAAAGAAATGGTACGTCTCTTGTTTCGTTCGTGATAAACAGCCAATGTATACTTTCTTCTCTATTGTCGTGCCGTATTTGTATTAATTACAGATCGTAAAAAGTCCATGGGGAAATGCATTGTCAATTATTCTAAGTGCGTTTGAAAGACACCAAGTGCTCTTTAAAGACGTCTTAAATTCCAGATTCACATCTTGTCACAATGAGAGGGAGACACTTCATATGAATGCACTTGATTCTCAGACCGGCGCTGGGGTCGGCGGATGTTATATGACCCGGTGATGTCAAACATCACCCCGCTTGCCTAGTCACATGACGCAGCCTATGGGTGAACTTGATTGCACCAGTTTATCGGTTGGGTTTTTGAAACCACCGTTTTTTATTTGGGATATATATATTGCCTTTTCAGTCTACAACAATTATTTTGCGAGGTGTTGATATGACGCATCTATGTTAACTTTACTTATACTATTATGTTCTCTTTTTGGTTCACTCAACATATCTATTAAAGGATGAGTCACGTGAACAGATATTCCTGATACTTTGAGGACTCTGTGAAAGACAGGGACTATACACGAAAGCCTGACATTGGCCTAAACATGACTGCCATATGGTGTAACGTTCAAGGATGTATGCGGGTATGAGTTTTTGTTCAATGCACATCTCGAACTGTTCATGAACATGGCGTTATATATCAAACAAAACGTGAATAAATTCACATTCTACCATGCATTTGGAAATGACTCGATACTGATTGGTCAGTGAGAGGTTTCAAATCACTGCAAATCCCCACAATTTCCTTTAAGGGCGGTTAAATCTACCTGTAACCTAACTCTATATTGTTTTGTTTGTTTATTGTTTAACACCGCACCGAGCAATACTACAGCTATATGGGCCTAACATTCCAAGCGCTTCGGCGACTGCTCTTAGCCCAGTACTATTGTAATCTGGGTCAAATCCACTTTTCAAGTGTATTGTCTTTTGCCCGTGCATTTACACCATATTTCAAAATCTATGTTTGGACGAGGTAAACCATGACAAGATGGCTTGAACACCCACCCCCCTCGGCAGGATATGACGGTACATAAGTACAAGGGTTGAAGTACCAGCATTTTCAGAAGTACGATCTATTCTGAGCTGTCATTGCGTCCACTCACTACACCAACCTTGTCTTTTTAATTTGGAGGTCATTGGGAGCCTATTTGTGAGTCCACCAATGTGATAATATGAAAGTGAATGTTGTATTGCGCCACAGTCAGCCATATTTTGCTATATCAGAAATATCTGTAAGTAATCGAGTCTGGATCAGAAAACCAATGTTGAAAAAGTGTCGATCCAAATTCATCGGGACACAATGATACAAGCAACTAGGTCACGTTCTCAAACTACCGTTATCCCCAATCTTTACGACGACTGGTAACGTTCAGGTACAGTGGGACTAGTGCCACAGACATGTTTGTTTCAAGGTTTCAGTGGAGAAAGGGTATTTCAATATTGAACAAGGTAAACCGAAAACAACCAAAAGCCGTTTTGAACAAATACGTCTTTCAAATCACCTCGTCTCTGGAGTGATCCAGGTCTTGTGCGTTTACCACCTCAGCGGAACACATGAGTATGCGTATGGTAAACTTAGAGCGAGTGTAATAGTATGGTTTTACGCCGCTTTTAACAATATATCAGTGGGAACACCACAAATGAGCTTCATACATTGCACCCATGTTTGGAATTGAAGCCGGGTCGTCGGCGTGACGAGCGAACGCTTCAACCACCAGGCTACTTAAACGCCCCTGTAATCCTAGAAGGTGGGGTGTGGTGAAATGGGGTTGAATAGCGACGTGTGTGTGTGCGTGCGTGTGTGCGTGATTGCGTGCGTGCGTGCGTGCGTGCGTGCGTGCGTGTGTGTGTGTGTGTGTGTGGGGGGGGGGGGATGCTTGGCTGTTGTACTAGTACGGACTAATGCCAATTTCATAGGACTAGCCCACTGAGTTACCATGCCGCAGTTTAAAATGAACTCCCCACTCAGACACAGTACACTGACCAGTCCTTGTTTTAGCCCTTAAATACCGACCTCCAGGCAGGGTAACAACAAGTAACATCTTTTAATGTCTTTTAGTAAGACGCGGCCGGGGATCGAACCTCCGACCTTCCGCTCCCCGAACAGACGCCCTACCACTAGACCACGGAGGCGGTCTTAGACTTAGGAACATAATCATGGCGAATCAGGACTCGAACCCACGTTCATCTGTTTGTGGCACGCCTTGAGCCACCCGTGCCCCCATGTCCGTACTATGAGCACATGGGATATAGTAAGCGATGTAATATGAAGTCAAAGTGAACAGGTACTTGAATAAAAGGTCAATAACATGAAAACCTAGGTCAATAAACCTACTGTGTGGATACTTCGGAAGTAGTTTCCATACTTGTCAATTTAATTTCAACTGGGGGGCACGGGTGGCCCAGTCGTCTAAGGCGCCGCGATTCGCTGTGCAGAGTTGCGTCCCTTGGACACACCAGAAACCTATGATTGTGGGTCGGAATCCCGGTTCGCCCCGATTATGTTTCTAGGTTTGTCAGCACCATACCCGTGCTCGTGGGTTTCACCGAAGTGGTAAACGTTTGAGACCTGCATCACTTCGGGCTTTCCTGCCACATTAAGCTGACACGGCGCGATATAACTGGAATACCGTTAAAAGCGGCGTTAAACCCAACTCACTCATTTACAACTAAAGAGAGTTCAGAAAGCAGCTGATACTTACAGAATGTTATTGCCACTTTCTGTTGGCCGAATTCGACCTCCCAACAACACGTGATGTAGGCTTTGCCGCTCTTATCCCGCACTCCGACTGGCCTGAAACAAACAAGTCTCATGTCACTAGTGTCTCCCACGTCACTCTGGCAGAAACCACACTTGTTTGCGTATACAGATGCGTATGTCCGTATGGGTTTTGCGTATGCAAAAACCTCAAACACATTATATACGAGCATACCTATGCTTACGATAACGTATACGTTAACATTCCACGTAAACCATGCAAAATTGACGCCTGTTAATGATTTGCGATCGCGTATACGTACGCGTATGAGTCAAAATTGGCTATCGGTGCAAATTCAATCGTATACGCATTCGTAAACACGCATACGCAACACGCAAACGTAAACAAATCTTTTACTTGTATGTTAACATTATCATGTATTCAAAATAAATATTTTACGATAATTGCTACAAATTACCGTCAAGACAGAAATTGGATATGTGAATGTCATCTACGAATGGTAATGTTATACAAAACTTGTCGATGTACATCATGTATTATTCAAGTCAAAAACATCTTATCCTCATGTATAACCATGATTGTGACCATGGGTCGATGGCCAACACTACATAACGATTTATAGAATTGAATCGAAATAAAGATAATAGTTTAAGTCCTTTGGAAAGGTGATAGAGATATGCAGAGTTAATACCATCGAAGTTATGTTTCCAGGCAAATACGTTTTGTTAGCCGATTGACATGATCCTGACTGTTAGAGATATCTCTATTAGTTACTCAGACCCCCACCCCATCCCCACCCCACCCCAACCCAACCCTATACACCCTACCCCCCAACCCCATCCCAACCCTATACACCCCACCCCAATCGTATACGCATTCGTAAACACGCATACGCAACACGCAAACGTAAACAAATAGTTTTCCTTTTCATTATTTATACCAAATCGAAGTTTTCGGATATAGATAACGCATATTCCATATCTCAAGTTGTGTGAGATTGGGCGGAGAAACACAATGTGTCAATATTGTGAGATGAAATAATTCTGGTATTTAAGAACCCATGTCCAGCACAGCTTGGCATCAGATAAGCCTTAGCGTATCCAACACAAACACAATCATCCCCCATCCCAAAGCCTTTCCACGGACCCACAGGCACAACAAGCACTACAAGCAGGTCTTCAGCAACCCATGCTTGCCGCACAACGCGACTATGCTTGTCGTAAGAGGCGACTAACGGGATCATGTCATGTCATCGTATCCCAAATGCCTGGATCGATGCTCATGATGTCAATCACTGGATTGTCTGGTCCAGACTCGATTTATTTACAGATCGCCCTCATATAGCTTGAATATTGCTGAGTGCGGCGTTAAACAACAAACAAACAAACAGTAGCACCACCATCAGCCCCACCGGCCTTCTCTTCAAGCACAAGTAAGATATGGGCGTCTGTAATATGAAAATTATATGTAAATATTCCTTAGAGAACATTTACCTTTACGCCATCTTGGAAATGGTAAATTGAGTTCATGGTCAAATGTCAAAATATTATAATTAAAACATTAAGAACACAAAAAAATGTCATATTTTATTCATATATTCTGATTACTGAGAGCTGCTAGGTATGTTGTGAGCAACATTTGCGTCAATAAAAACATTGAATAAGGCTCATTGATTAATATAATGGGTGTACCGAATGACATATCTGCGTTTTGTAAAGAACCTAAGGACACCAAACACACAGACCCCCCCCCCCCCCCCCCCCCCCCCCCAACACTCTCTCTGTCTCTCTCTCAATCTTTCACTCTCTTCCCTCTCTCTCTCTCTCTCTCTCTCTCTCCCTCTCTCTCTCACACACACCCTTTGAAACACCGTGACGGTGGGACGCTGGCTTGCGGATGGTGAAAACACACGTGACAGAAGAGCCGGGGTATTAATTGTCAGTGCAGTTCAAAGTATCTGACATGTTTTCCATTGGTAGCAATCCAGAGATCCACCACAGGAAATAATTCTTGATTACATAATTCACGAAGACGAGATTGAAAGCACGTGACCCAATTCCCAGAGCAGAGACCACAAGAGCTTGACAATATTCACTGACTGTGTGGACTACGCTTAGTTCAACCTCACTGCCTCGGAGCAACCCCGTCGTTATAGGCAACACAAGTTAATGCAGCAATGATGACAACCCCATCAATACCCGTATGTAAATGCAGTTGTGGTCGTGGTGGAATCTCATAATCTTAATAATCACTAAGTTTATTTCTACACTATGCCGTGTATCGTGATTGAATGATAATCGATACACATTCAGTGTAGACTGAACATAGTTATAGACAGGTTATTTAGCTGATTGGCGCAGCTCTATTCTTTCGATCTTTATAAACGGCGGACAATGGTTCAGCTCTGAGTTAGGGTAGTGTTAGACAGATTGCATGCAAAATGACGGATGAGGACAGGCGGTTTGTGGCAGTGATAAGGACGCGTTAAATGTAATGAATTAACTATAACTACTACCCAAGGAAGACGCTAATAAATCAAGCACCAATAGCTGGAGATGATTGGTAGGCAATGCGACCCGAACGGGAGTGGGAAACCGTGTAATGGACGTCATAAATCCGGTCGAGTTGGCAGCCATATTGCTTGGGGGGCTCCAAAAATGTAATCAAACAAATAACTATTTGAAATGCATCGATTAGACGCTCGTGCGAATGGAGGTAATCCTGTATTTTTTAACATGAAACAAATTGTGTAACTTTATGTTTTGATAAAGAAAACTCTAGGCGTTTTCGAGATTTTTTATATTTTCATTGTAATATTGTCGACTGGTGCTCATTTACTAAACGGGAATGATATATAATGTTTTTATTATGCACAAAAGAGCGATAGTTATGAATCAAATAAATGCTTTTTTAAATGAAGCGTTTACTAGGACATGCTTTGACACGGGATATTGAAGCAAACGTTCTCTAAATACACGACATAAAATATCGGCATTTAAATAAAAGTCGCTTGGGGCACATATGTAGCCCCGCGGTCAAAGGCACCGCAGTTCGCTTAGCAGATATTGCCTCCATTAAGTGTGCGAGGAGCAGCTAAAGAAAGACGCGTATCTCAAGAACGGAGTGATGACACAGCGGTGAGAGATAAAATGGCCATGCCAGTAAGGTTTGTGGGTAATATTCCTCCCAGCAGATTAAAGCTGTGAGTGAGTGAGTGAGTGAGTGAGTGAGTGAGTGAGTGAGTGAGTGGGTGGGTGGGTGAGTGAGTGAGTGAGTGAGTGAGTGAGTGAGTGCGTGAGTGAGTGAGTGAGTGAGTGAGTGAGTGAGTGAGTGAGAGAGAGAGTGAGTGAGTGAGTGAGTGAGTGGGTATTGGTTGGGTCAGTGAGTGTGTGGGTGGGTGAGTCAGTTGGTTTTAACGCCGTATTTAACAGTATTACAGTTATACCAGGCAACCCAGTTACTTAGGCTTCATCAACAGTCCTCGCCTTCGGGGTACGACGATAAGCAGTCAGTCCAGCCACCAGACCTGGCCATCTGATCCCCATACATCAGGGAGATATAAATAATATATGTGGGTCACACAATCTTAGACTTGAAACGGAGCGTTATTGTAAAGAGCCAACAGAACGGCGGATTGTGTATTTTGTGACAAACAAAAATGAATTCCAATCTTTTACTTGTATGTTAACATTATCATGTATTCAAAATAAATATTTTACGATAATTGCTACAAATTACCGTCAAGACAGAAATTGGATATGTGAATGTCATCTACGAATGGTAATGTTATACAAAACTTGTCGATGTACATCATGTATTATTCAAGTCTTAAACGTCTTATCCTCATGTATAACCATGATTGTGACCATGGGTCGATGGCCAACACTACATAACGATTTATAGAATTGAATCGAAATAAAGATAATAGTTTAAGTCCTTTGGAAAGGTGATAGAGATATGCAGAGTTAATACCATCGAAGTTATGTTTCCAGGCAAATACGTTTTGTTAGCCGATTGACATGATCCTGACTGTTAGAGATATCTCTATTAGTTACTCAGACCCCCACCCCAACCCAACCCTATACACCCTACCCCCCTACCCCATCCCAACCCTATACACCCCACCCCCATCCCAACCCTATACACCCTACCCCCAACCCAACCCAACCCTATACACCCTACCCCCATCCCCATCCCAACCCTATACACCCTACCCCCCACCCCCATCCCACCCTATACACCCTACCCCAACCATTTACACCCCACCCCACCCCAACCCAACCCTATACACCCTACCCCCCACCCCCATCCCAACCCTATACACCCTACCCCCCCACCCCCATCCCAACCCTATACACCCTACCCCCCACCCCCATCCCAACCCTATACACCCCACCCCAACAGACACCCGACTACTCATCCAATGTATACAGATGCTGATTAAAAGGTTTTACATGTATATTTTGTGCAGCTACAAATCCGCTCATTCAGAAGGCGTTGTATATGCGTATCAGAATACACTGAGGTGTATTTATTTCAATTGACGCATGTAAAATGCTGTAAATAGAAGTCCTCATACATATTGAAACAAGCGTTTTTATGTTATTATTTCAGGTCAGGAACGTCTCGACCCAACATAGAAGATACGTCCTAAAATGTCAAGAAAGCAATACAACTTCCTAGTTGTGATGTATATACACGTATTCATATCATTGAAGAGGAATGTGTGTGTGTGCTTGCAGAACGGGATTACTGGTTCCTATTAGAGAGTAAAAATAAGTTTTGTAACGTTAAATGAATACATGTTTTGACTCATCCGACAACGACGTATTTGACAATGGTGAAAAATACGCCGTATTAGACAACGTTGAAATATGCATCATGTTTGATAACTATGAATATACGTCGTATCTGAAAATGATGAAATAAACGTCGTTTTTGACAAAGAAGAAAAATATACGTCGTATTTGACAACGATGAAATATGACATAATAGTTGATAACGAAGTTACATCATGCATCATATTTGATAACTATGAACTAACATGCATATACGATGAACTATTATGCATCAT